CCCCCGCCCCCTCTCAAACAAAGCAGCCTTCCTAACAGGCCAAACCCCTTCATCGTCGAACGCACCGATGACCGCCTCCTCGGAAGGCGAGATCCTCATCCGCACTGCCGCAGTAGCAATCGCAACCCTGGAGGACGATGCAGGCGCAGAGCAGAGAGATTGAGAGAAGAAATCGCCTGGGAACCTATCACAGATAGGCCTGCGTGCCGAAAATGCCCTTTCGCACTTTGTTTCCTTGCACCGACAGTGTCAACACACCACTCGAGGAAGGTATCGAATCCTTGACCAGGGTGTCTTCATAGGATTGCCAATGCCGCCGAATAAAGGCTTTTAGCTCAGCGAAGAACTCTTCAATAGGATTCAGGTCTGGTGAGTATGAGTCCCTAGTCCGTGAACGGCCGCACTGCGACCGATTTTCTCCGCCCCTGATTGGTTGGTGGGGTTCTCTGCCGCCACTAGCTTCGTATGTGCCTGGATCACTTCGTATAGATCAACCGCGAAGACATAATTGCTTCTTTTCCTCCTCTGTCGCCGCGTCGCGGTCGCCTCACCGTGTGTCGCGGTCGGTGTCGCGGTCTCCTGTTATCATGGTCTTGTAATAACCCATCTTCTTCTTCTTCTTCTTATTCCCTAGAATGCCTATATTCCTTTCATTAATTCTGACCCTGAACCGAATCGACGGAATAATATGGATCTCTTTATCTATAATCCGACCTACGAGGTCTGGATTTGCACAGCACATCGGTGCCAGTATGCTGTCTCGCCACAGACCCTGCTTACACACCTCCGTGTCCATCACCGTTGGCACCCAACTGTGGCCACCGCGGCCCTGCGTGAGGCAGTCTTGACAGAGATGCTGAAGCGCCCGTGGATTGATCCCACTAAGAGACCCTGTGTGATCCCGTCCCCAGGAGACCCACCGATCCCAGGGCTACCGGTCTACCAGGGCCATGGCTGCCCCCATTGCTCCTACGTTGCTCGCACCACTGAGACTATTCAGAAGCACCGCCGTGAGACCCATAGAGACCTGGAGCCTCCCTGTGGCCGTGGGCGGCAGCCACAGTGGCAGGCAAAGGCCAGCCGCCGCCTCGCCAATCGCGCTGTCTCCTGCCAGCGCTTGTTCCCTAATAAGCACAGGAGTCAGCTCTTCGAGGTCACCTGTGCCGCCACGCCACCCAGCAAGCAGGCACTGCGGGCCACCGTCCCCATGACCCCCGCGGAGCGGATCCGCGCCTGCGTGGACCAGGCACTGCGGGAGGGGCAGGCCGCGGCAGAGATCGAGGATGGCCAGGTACCTGCAATAGATCCCCACCCTACAGCTGTGTCCCCCTGGCTCGAGCTGACCCGCTGGCCGGAGTACCTGCGGGGACAGGACCTGGCTGCAGTGGCATTGCTGGGATGCCTGCCTGATCCCACCATGGAACTTGTTCTCCTGCAGTTCAGCGCCAGTATCAAACGGTTGATTGACCAAGCCTACCAGGTGATCAAGGACGGCCTTCTGAATGAGTTCGACCAGATCCAGATCAACACCTTCTTTCGCAAGCCCAGTGTGTGGAACCGGCCTATCCAGATCCATCTGCGGCCGGCTACCTACCATCGATACTGCCAGGTATGGCAGCGACTGGTCTGCTTCACCTACCGCAGCACCCGGCTGGATCAACCCATCCGGTTGCGTCACTAGCTTAACACCGCCCAGCTAGCTGCCCTGGATCAGATGGAGGAGCATGCGCAGCAGCAGCTAGATCTGCAGGGCCAGGACCAGCCAGTACTGCAAGGAAAGGTGCAAAAACAGCTGGACCAGGCCTGTCTAGCCCTCTCGATTGCCCTGCTGGACCATCCCCTGAAGGGAGACCTTTTCGACAGCACCCTAGTCGGCTTCCTGGCGGTCCTGGGGGTGGACCCCGCGCGCCAGAACTTCCGGGACCCGTATAGCTACACCAGCTACCTGTCCGGCCTGGTCAAGATGGCCCAGATGCTGGTGGCCCTGCAGGCCGTCCGCCTGGCTGAGAATGGCCAGGTTACCCACCCCGCAGACGCCCTGGACGAGATGCGCGAGCGCTTCTTCTGTACGGGGTGCGCGCCCCCTTTGGCTGGATCACCCGGCTGCGTACGTATGGGAAGAAAATCCAGAATAGTACTACTAGCGTGGGCTATATCTACTGGAGTGATGATGAGCAGACCCTGAGCTATAAGGACCTGCAGATGAGCATGCAGGGGTTCCGCCAGTTTATTGCCAGCCAGGTTCAGCTGGCCCAGGCAGAGCTCGCACAGCTGTTCCTGCTGCATGAGGAGGAGGTTCGGGAGGAGGTAGTCCCGCAACTGGCGCTGCATGAACTGCAGGATGACCCCACTAATAATCAGCGGGGGTGGAACTTCCTGCGGGACCCCCGAACCCGTAAGGCCCTGCCCACCCAGGGGGAACGCTGGCTGCTGGACCGGGTCCTGGGGGCAGATTGGCTGCGGGAGGAGTTCGTGGAGATCCACCAGATTGGGCAGCGGGATGAGGTCCTATGGCGGGAGGGGCCGGTGGACCAGTACCTGCAGCAGGTGGACGGGTTCCTGCAGCGGCTGCTGCTGCTGGTGCATATCACTGGGGGCCAGCCTGGGCGGGCCACCGAGCTGCTGACCCTGACCCATAGCAATACCAAGCATGGCCGCCACCGGTCTATTTTTATTGAGCACGGCCTGGTTAGCACAGTGACTACCTACCATAAGGGATATTCGATCAGTAACTCCACCAAGATCATCCACCGCTACCTACCCAAGGCGGTCAGCGAGCTGGTGGTCTACTACCTCTGGCTAATCCTGCCGTTCTGCCAGTCCCTGCAGCGGCTAGCCCGGGGTCAGCGCGGGACTGCGTCCCCCTACCTCTGGCCCGGGGGGAGGGGACCTGGGGAAGTGACCGGCTGCGGAAGGTCCTTCAGCAGGAGGCTAAGACCCACCTACAGACCAAGCTTAATATCCTGTCCTACCGGCATGCAGCTATCGCGATCTCACGGGTGCACCTGAAGTGCGGCGGCTTTAAGCGGGACTATAGTAGCACAGATGACGCGGCCTTCAACGAGCAGGCTAGCCACGGGTCCTGGATTGCGGGCACGGTATACGCGCGGGGGCTGCAGGAGGCACCAGGCCACATTAAGGTGCGCCGCAAGCAGTACCGAGCCATCAGCCAGGAGTGGCATGAATTCCTTGGGTTCAAAACTGGTCTGGGGCCGCGCAAGCGGAAGCTGCAGGTTCAAGAGTATAATCACAATGAGTTTAGGGACCCAAAGCGGCAGCGGGAGTATGTGATGGTTAACATGTGGGAATAATAAATTCTAAAGATGATAATGATATGCATGCCATGAGGGCTAGCACTGTTCCTGAGGCAGCATTTGAGTCCACCTGCATTTGAGTTTCTCGCCCACTGATTCGCGCCCACCTGGCACGCAGGCCCTGCCTGAGCCGACCCACATCCCGATCCACCCCAGTTCCAAACTGGCTAAGTTCCCGCAATCTGAAAATAAGGTTTGTGGGTCTCGGCAGCGCTAAGATGCCGCCCAAATTTCAATATCAAACTATATCAACTTCAACCAGTCACCACACCCACAACATGAGCAACAGAACCCCTATCCCACAGGGGGCGGCGACTGTACTTGACACCGAGTTAGGGTTTAGCCCAGAGCGGTATAGCGGCAGTCAGATCGGGGTAGGGGCCAACGAAACCATCTGGGGTAGGGTCGTGGCACCAGATGGAGTCGTACGCATTTAAAATTTGGCCAGCTTGCTGGTTGACTAATTCCGCATAATTTAGCCAAATTTCAATGAGGAATTCGATGATTTGTAGATGTGCTGAGGGTGTGGTTAATGCACGGAATTTTGATGTGGTTTAGGTTCCCGCAGAACAGTGTGGATCCGAAAAGCATTGCCTATGAACACCATCATGGCTCCAGATGTGGTTGTAGGCATTTTAAATTTAGCCAGCTTGCTGGTATACTAGCTCTGAGTAATCCAGCTAAATTTCAGTGTTAAATTCAATGATTTGCAGGCGTGGTGAGGGCAGGTTGGATATCCAGGATTTAGTATGGTTTAAGTTCCCCTGGATAGAAAAAGTAATGCCCACAAACAAAACATTCAGGGGTCGAACCCCATCATTATTTACCTATTCCATTTCATGCTAGTAGATCAGTACGCATCATTAGTCAGAATGGAAGAGCAGATTTTCATCCAGCTTCCCCAGCCCCTAATCATTATCTGCTGGTCCTGCCGCCATGGGGTGTGGCCGGCCAAGGTGGAAAGCCATCTCCAGGGGAAAGCGCATGGATTACCCCAGGCCACTGCGAAGCAGATTCATTAGGTTATCTAGACATGGGAGGGCGTGGAGCATGACCCCCAAGCTGTTTAATAGCCCAGTCAGATCGCCCAGTCGATCCCCCACCTGGATGAATACCCCAATGGGTTACTGTGCCAGCGAGACCTAGCTAATTACCAATTCATCACCCGTTCACTCAATATATTAAAACAACATTAGCACGAGCATCATGGATGGACAGCACCATATCATGGGGGTCGATCACGCCCGCAGGAGCAGGAATAGGCGCAGATCGCGATCCAGCAGGGATATCAGGTGGTGACCTGCCAGCGGTTTTTCCCGTCCTGAAAAGGGTCCCATTATATCTGGGTGCCATGCCCCAACCAGCAGCCAGAGGAGCAACCCCAGACAGCACCCACCCCCCACATCCAGGCCACAGTCAATGCCGTGATCCAGGCATGGGAGCAGGCACAGGCCCAGGCAAAAGCCCAGCAGACCGTCCAGGCCAGCGAGCTCACCGACGCCAACCCGTGGCTGCGGATGACCGGGTGGGCGGATTACCTGCAGGGCATCAGCGAGAAAAACCTGCTGGACTGTGTGGAGACGCCCGCGGAAGATCCCCAGGATGCCACGGAGCAGCGGGTGCAGGTCATCTGGGCCACCATGGAGCAGGTCGTCTGCAAGAGCCAGCGGACCGTCCAGCAATGCGGCCAGGCCATCTGGGTGGAAGCTGTCCGGTCCGAAAAGGGGCAGACCCCATACCGGCCATTATTGGCATACATGGACGAGGCCGCAATCCAGAAGCATGTCCATCCATGGCAGCAGATATTAGCATTCATCGCCCGCACCCAGCCCCCGCACGACTGGACCAGCCCAAAATACGGGATGACCGCGCAGCAGCGCAAGAAATGGCGGCAGTTATGGCAGCTCGCCGGCCAGGGCCCCCAGAGCAGCCCTGATCTGATGGACCCCAAGCCAGACGACCCACAGATAGAGGCATGGGCCATGACTGACATTAAAAAGGCATGCTTGGAGTTTTGTATTGAGTTACTGAACTAGCGCCATCGCAGCCATGAATATGAGAGTGCATTAGTGTGTGCCATGGCTGTGTTAGGGCAGGGGGAAACTGGCTGGCGGGACCCTGAGAGTTATCCACCGATATTATCCCGGGTCATCAAGATTACGCAGTTCATGGTGGTCTAGAAGGCATTATAGATGGATCCGCACCTGTGGCAGATCATCCAGGCATGGGAGAAGAAGGATCGGAGTGCGGAATGGGTGTTGGCTAGCGTGGATGACATATTAGGGGATATTAATGAGGGGTATGACAGTAATAATGCCATTACACCCTGATTATCGCCCCCCACATCATCCATCCATAGCAATACTCCATTGCCTGCTGTAGATATGCACTAGCCAGGCTGTTGACCATTCCAGGAGCAGGTGATGTGGATGATGCACCAGTTTATGATCTGTAGGACCCATGGCCCCATGGAAACATTGCTAGACTGGTGCACATATAGGTTAAAGGTGCATTATAACAGCACTAGCGCTGGGCATGTGTCACGTGACCTGGGTGGTTAGTACATAGATTATTATGCTGTCACGTGACCCAGAGCTGTATGGCTTCGCGAGTGCCTGCTAGGCGGCACGAGCATATCGCGGGCCTTGCTCGCAACAATAATAGTAGATTTAAATAGGTTAATATTAGAGAATACTATATTTACTAGATATAAAGATATGATATTAGTTATGCTTATAGGGCCTAGAATAATTATCTTAGAGGTTAATATCTTAGGTAAGGAAGGGGTTACTAGCATTAATATAGGTAGTATTCTTAAATCTATTACTATAAATATATAATCTTCTCCTAAGGCCTTAGTACCTCCTAAGGTTATAGTACCTCCTAAGATAGTAATACTACCTAAGGTAGGGAAAGAAGATACTTTAAATATTAATTTATCTATTTTAAATAATTCTTCTATAAATATATATATCTCTAGTTTCTTAAGGTTTTTTTTAACTCTCTCTACTATCTCTAGATATAGTTTCTAATCTATAGGGTATTTCTTCTTATTAAGATAGTAATATATCTTAGACTAATGCCTAGGCTAATTTCTATAGGGTCTACTATATATATATTTCTTAATATCTCTTTTATTAGAATTACCTTACTTATTACCTTATAGGGTAGTAAAGGAGAGGTTATTTATAGACTAGGTAATCTATCTAATAATGTCACGGCACCAGCCCTGGCCTGGTTAGTGGTCACGTGGTCTTGTACTAGTGTCCAAGTAGTATTAGACTCCTTCCATAGCTCACTGAGCCTTACGCTCCTCACAGCACAATATAGAGTCACCTCATACCCCCTTAGGGTCAGTCCTGTGATAAATAATTTAATTATTCTAGATCTTCTAGAGAATCTTTATAAAGCCTATCTTTATTTTATTAGTTTCTCTTTATAAGAGAAATAAATAATATAGTAGCTAGTTGTTACAGCACCAACGACGTTAGGCGGATATAACAGGCAGAATCAAGAAGCAACGACAGCCAGTCATTTAGGCAAGGACTGACCATGATGGATGCCTAAGGGAAAGGCGCAGCGGAATCACTATG